TAGTGCAATTTAAAGTATATTTGAACCCAGAAGGTTTCCAAAACGCCCCACGCCTACCAAACTCCGCGCATCAACGGTTAAGATTGCGGTGGCAGTTTCCCCACAGCCCACTAGAGGGCGCGCACATTTTTCGATTCCAAAAGAAAGCGTTCTTTGGGTACTTGCCCCAGAAATTTGGAGCTGGTGTCTCCTTTCCTTACTGTCTTTTCAACTTGGGGCAGTTGTGGTGAGCCCTTGGTTCTCTCCCTCCACCAAGCCATCCTCGCCCCATGCAGTGACTCCTGTCTGCCATTACGGAGAATTCTTTTGCTCCCCAAACCACAGAAGTTTTGCTTCTGACTGTTCTCAGCATTTGCCCTTTTGACATTTTAGAAGAAATAAGATCCAAGTTTGATGTTGAAAAGAAAGCATTGATTTCTCTAGTGGGAGGATTTCTTCTCCCTATTACTGTTTTCCCTAGCTGTGGGGAAAAATCGCCTCTAAGGATTTAAAGCAGTTCCTTTGAGCTGAAGATCTTTCTGCCGGCTCACAGAGCTGTTTCTGAGCAGTTCTGGTGCTGACATTAGTCCCCTTGTTCGGCAGCATGTTGTATTTTTGAGACTCAGCCTTTTCCTCGGAGTTTTACATTCTGAATTGACAAGATCTTGATCTTAGAAACTGGACCACACACTCCCAGACCAACCCACCACACAAACCGTGAGCCAAGAGATAGGTCCAGTAGTTTACCCCAAGTCTTCTGCCTGCTGGATGGCCCCAGAACCTTACACCTCACCCATTATTTGGTTCCAAGGTCCTCTTACCTCCAGATACTCATCTTGAGCTTTTCTCAGGAGTCAGCACAGACATTCATGAAATAAGCTGTGAGTCTTCCCCATCACACGTGGATAGGAGATTACTTTTTGAATGGGAAGCTCTGCAGTTGACATGGGGAAGACTGGAAATGTGGCTCAAGCAAAAAGCGTGGAAGGTCCAGCACCTCCCATTTCTGTGAATCTCAGGCAGCCTGTGCTTTAAGGAGATGAACAACTTTTTTTTTTTTTTTTAAAGAAAGGTGTCAGAAGTCTTCTGAGATTGCAGCTTTATGCAAATACACTACTCAAGAAGAAGGCTTTAGGGGAGAGTTATTTATATCCCACAGGCATTACACATGCAAAAGGTGAAGCTGTGAATCTCCGCATTTCCAGGAGTGGATGTTCTCATGATAAGCACATCCTTGCTATTTTGGTGGCACACCATTCCTATATCTAACTGTCAGGTTGTTCCAGGCAGGAGGCGACATAATCATTCAGTAATTTTAGAACGACCCTGTATGTTTCTCTCCAGTAGGGCTTCTTGACCTGAACTCTTCCTGAGGCTTAGATTTACTACCACTTTGGACTCTCTGGTAATAGGTGCCTTCATCGCTTTTTCTCCTAAACAGGTGCAGGACTCAGTCATTAAAGAGTCATCACATGGCACATTTATTGCCCTTTGGCTTTCAGGCTAACTCCTGGAATTAGCCAAGAAAATGGGCATTTCCTTAGGAATGATTGCTCACCCTACCCAGAAATCTAGACCATTCTCTGCACTGAAGTGTACAATAATCACTTCAGGAAATTGCTTTCCCTATTGGAAACTGAGAGCTCACATCGGAATGTTTCCACAGTACAGCTGATGATAATTACGACTCACTGAAATTTCAGTTTTCTTTTGATTGTGACATAAAAACTAGGACATAAATTAAAACCCAATTATTCTTTAAGGGTAATTGGGGTTATAAAACCAAGAGACTGTGAGTCAGTGTGTCGGTAGCGCAGGAGCCCTGTGTCAGATGGAATGGTCTCCCGAAGCAGCCTTTCCCTCGAAATGGCTGGGGATAGGGTGATCCATGCACACGGCGCTCCAGGATAGCACATCAGACCAGGGGGAAGCCTTGGAGAGGGCAGTGAGCTCCCAGGACACCTTGGAATGATTCAAACAAGTGAAAACTAAAATGGGAACGCTGTGGCCTTCTACCAGTGAAGATGCCCAGTGGTGGAGCGAGGCACTCATCACCAAGACTCTTCAGGCATGGAAATCGGAGATCTTTCAACCTGTGAGACAATCTGCACCTTCAGTGTCCATGAGAGGTAGCTGGGCTTTTTTCACGAAAGGTGTGATGTGCTGGAGCTGAAGGAAAAAAACCAAAAACCCAAACCCCAGATTTTTAGTGAACAATTCCTAAAGTTAAATGCATGAAGCGGGGCTCATTAAAGGAGGTCTTGGATTCTTCTCAAGGTACAGGACTTGCCCCCACACCTGAAGATGTCCCCCAGCCTACCTCTCGATGATGCGTATCTCTAGACTCTTCAGGTCAAACTTCCCAACTTTGCACTTCAAAGCCTCTCATGACACACCCCTCCTCCCCCATCCTGGATTCTCAGTAGTTTCACTTCCCTGTCTTTCCAGAGAAAGTGTGCGCTTCTTACATTTTTAAAAGAGCACATCCCACCGCATGACCGCACTGTTCTCCTGTCTCTGCCGCTCCGTTGAAAGCCCCTGTGACGTGTGTAACTGGGCGCACAGTGGGCACACACTCACTGAACTCTGAATGTAGTGCACTACTGAAATGGCATCACTCCGCATGTCTAACTTGTCTTTCTCGAAGGTAAACACTGCCCCAAGTTTAATCACAGAGAAGGCTTGAGCAAACTCAACCCCCTTTCAAAACCAATCAGGTTTTCCTTTGAGGGCACCCACCTCTGCAAACAACTTCCTAGCCATGGCCGTAAAGACCCAGAAAAGAGTTTCAAGCAGACCTCTGTTTCTAGTCGAAGCATCAACATCACTGTGTCCCCTGAGAATAAAGAGGGAGAAATGCAAAGTCCAGGCTATTCTGACCATTCCAGGAAACCATGCCCTGATAGACCCCAGGGAAAGTGGGATGTCTAACCTGGGCTTTTGCAATCTTATTTCATAATCCACTTTCTTATCTCCTCCTTCACAAAACTGATGAGAAATTGGTACAAATGCTATCGACAAAAGATCACAACTTGATCCTCAATGGCAAAGGCAAGTATACATTATAAATAGCAAAACAGCTGGCTTGGACCATGTTGCTGGCCACTCATCCAGCTGAGAGATTTGAATGACATCATAACCCTTGAGAGGGTATTGCTAGCCAGCTGGTGTTATTTAGAATACACAAAAATGGGGGAAAGAAAATGCACTCACGTGCACACACACACAAATATACACACACACACACAGGTTCAAGTTATGCAGAAAAATATGAACAATGGGAAAATCATTTGCCCCTCAGATGCCCTTCCCCTGGGGTGGGGTGGGGGTCGGGGTGGGGGCCAAGCAACAGAGGAGAGGAAGGAAGAAAAAGATTCGATTTTATTTTTTCAGTTGGCTTTACAGCTCAGCAAAATCTTTGCCCTGTCGTGGGCAAAAAGCATGAGACAGTGTCCTGAGGGGAGCCAATTACAAAGCTGCTGCCCCTTTCCAGGTTCTAGGAAATGAGATCATTCCCCTTACTTGGCAACTAGGACGAGGGGTCATCCCAGCGCTATCTTCCACTCTAGTTTACCCTAGTCGTTTGAGAGTTAAAATCGTAGAGTATGCTTGAGATGGTCTTTTTTTCATTTCTTGTTTTTTAAATTTTGTGTTGGCTCTGGAATATAAAATTGCTCGCCCATCCTCCACGAATATTCCTTTCATACTGGTAAGGTGTATTAGCAGATGTGTGTGTCTTCGTGCCCGGGAGAAAGTTAATCAGAGGACAACATCAGTATTTTAATGTCTGCTCCTCTTGTCACTAACACACATTCTTTTAAGGGAAAAAAATGCTTCTGTGCTCTAGTTTTAAAATGCAAAGGTATGATGTTATTTGTCACCATGCCCAAAAAAGTCCTTACTCGATAACTTTGCCAGAAGAGGGAGAGAGAGAGAAGGCAAGCGTTCCCCCAGCTGTTTCCTGTCTACAGTGTCTGTGTTTTGTAGATAAATGTGAGGATTTTCTCTAAATCCCTCTTCTGTTTGCTAAATCTCACTGTCACTGCTAAATTCAGAGCAGATAGAGCCTGCGCAATGGAATAAAGTCCTCAAAATTGAAATGTGACATTGCTCTCAACATCTCCCATCTCCCTGGATTTCTTTTTGCCTCATTATTCCTGCTAACCAATTCATTTCCAGACTTTGCACTTCAGAAGCAATGGGAAAAATCAGCAGTCTTCCAACCCAATTATTTAAGTGCTGCTTTTGTGATTTCTTGAAGGTAAATATTTCTTACTCTTTGAAGTCATTGGGGAATTTTCTTTAAATTGTGTACTGTTTGCTTCTGCTTAGAAATGTTCTTCACTTTAGAATTTTCATTGTTTCGGCACTGGGAGTTATTTATAAATTGCTGAATATGCAATTCTGTGGGATCTGAAAAAATAGCTCCGGGAGATAAATGCCTTTGCACAGATATCTGTATGAGTAAAAACTATTGCAAGGTACTTATGCTAAATCCTCCACTTCTTCAGGGCTTGAGTGGTGTCATTATAGAAGATTCCTTTAAATCCTGTCTACGGTTAAGGGCTATAGGGCATGGATATGAACTTTTGGATTTTTTTTGCAGGTGCAGATGTTTTATTTTTAAGACCATGTTCATGTGTATGTAGGACTGTGTGTGTGTGGTGTGTGGTGTGTGTGTGTGTGTGTGTGTGTGTGTGTGTGTGTGTAACTTGCCAGGACTTTTGATTACAAGGCATGCCACATACAAAGAGTTACATTTTAAATGATATTAAAGCTTTTAAATACGATCTTTGGCGCTAAGGTCCCGGAACTCTCTGCACTTATGCCCAGAGAGTCAGAGTTAGAGTGAAGTTTCATTTGCTCTTCTGAAAAAGAACTCCTGAAGAACTCCTGCTGACCTTGCATATTCGGATAATTTAAACAAATGCACACTGTATATGGAAAGCGGAAACTTTCTAGCAACTGCTATTCCAAGTTTTTTCTTTTGAAGAGGACTCTCAGGGGCGAAGTTTGGACTTGGGGTTTTGTGTTATAAAACTCGGATTTTGTGTTTGGGATTGTAAAGTCTCTTTAGGTAAATTTGGCTAGCGTTGTCAATGCACTGACTTCTCCTTTCCAATAACTGGCCCTAGTTCAAGTTTCCATTCTCAGCAAAATTATATCTTTCAAGACTTGTATTTTTCCAATTTGCAAGCACTTTTAAGCTGCTGTCACTGGCTCCCCGATGCAACTGCCTGTGGGCTCAATGCATGCTACGTCCCTACCGCTTAGTCCAGCTGCTTTCAAGTACTCCACCACTAGGACTTTTCTTAGTCAAGTCCGTGGCTTAGGAGTTAAGAATACATCCTTGTCGGGCACCTGATCCTGCCGCCCTTGAGATGCCAAGATGCCCACTGGCTACCTTGCTTTTAAAAGAAATGAAGTCAGTATACACATATGCTATGTGGTCTGACAGCTGGGGATTTTGTCTCCCTGCTTAGATGATCCTAAAAGGGACTGTGTAGTGTTATCTCTGCATTAATTACAAGTTTGGAAAACTCCAAATGAACTTTGCTGTGTATGCTGAACTTTTCAGAAGTAGAGCTAGCTAGCCATAAGTTGTTGCTTTTTCCTGAACTTGGAGCAGGAAGTGGTTTCAGGGAGCTACGTGGTTCTTTCAAATGTAATTCAATGAGGAAAGGTGTCTGCCAGGCAGAGCTCACAAGCTGATTCTACTGTGAGTCTCAAGATATTTCCAAGTGTTTGAGTCAGAGGGAAGAGGGCACAGGGGAGGACTGGAACGTGGGTCCCTGTCCAGGCTGGCTACCACAGGCACACGATGGAGATCGGTGGCTTGACTGGGAGGAAGAGATTGACTCAAATCCCAGCCGTGCAATTTGTTTATTGTCTGAATGGACAAAAGGCAGTTCACCCAGGCTCATAGCATACCTGCCTGGGTGTCCAAATGTAACTAGATGCTTTCACAAACCCCACCCACAAAGCAGCACATGTTTTTAAGTCCTCAGTTTTCTATTCACATCAGTCTCATAATACCCACCCTGACCTGCTGTAAAAGATCTGGAACAAACAAAAATGGTTACACCTACAGTGAGTATTTTCTTATGACTATTGCCCTCAAATTTTGCTGGGCATTTTTATTATAACCCAGACATCTGGAACCAATTGATATTCCATTTATTTAAGATAGAAAGAAAGGTCTTTAAAATTTTAGATTTGTGAATGATTTTTGAGAAAGAGTGCTCTGGAAATTTTTTTTTCTCTTCTTTTTCTAGTTCTTTTTTCATTTCTTTCTTTCAGATCTCTCCTTTCTCGCTCTTCATTTCTTTTGTGTTTGGAAAAATAAAAGGCCAAGGAAATGATGAACATATGGGGCCACTCATTTCAAACTTTTAACTCCTAAGCAAGTTCTTTATTGTTTTCTTTTGGGGGAACATAATGTGATAAATTCTCTGGTTCTCTGTGGGTGTGATGGACTGTTTCCTGAACTAAGAGAAAATTCACTAGAGGTTCTATCTTGTCCTAGAACTATAAGTGCTGATATTTATCTGAGAACATAACTCAGCAAAAAGGGGGGAAAAGGAAGAAAGAAAAGGGGGAAATCTGTAAAAAATAAATCTTAAGTTCTTAAATGCCAGAGACTGATAGGTATTGCTGAGTTTAAATGTGTTATACAAAAGAAATAGCTATTAAAAGTATAATGTTGACATCTAATGAAGTTCTCAATTCCCTAAGGCTTTAAGTTGAGTTCCTTTTTCCCTGGATTTCACAACAACCGAAGAACCTGAAGGCATCTACAGTTGCAGGTGCTTTGCCTTAAGCTTCACCATTAACTCAACAGAGACGGGAGTGATGGAGAAATAGGACTGGCAAAATAACATACGTTCTAGAACTGGCTGGTTGCCAGAGTGCGGGGTATGTTCTGTAAGATCAATTATGAGTGTTCTCTTTTGAAAAGGGCAAGGAAGTCCAGTTGGCTTGGACTTGTTGAGATTTCCACTGGAAATACTGAAAGGGAAAACTCCCACCAATTATTTTATAACTAAGAAAGATGAGGATTGGATGACTTGTTTCTAGCAGTCCCTGTGGCTTTGGCTATGTGGGGGTGGACGGTTTCCATGAACAGGTCCTATGGAGAAAATGGAAGAAATTCTCCATCAAGCTTTCACCTCCTCTTCTAGTTTATGTCTATTATTTATGATGATTTGCAAATAGAGGACGCTTTTCATCTTCAACTGTTTTACAAGCATTAACTAAATATTTACGTTGTGTTAACGAGAATCAGGGGTTTAGGGTTTTTTTCCCCAATTGCTGAACTGAAAGTCTGGCCACAAAAATGGAAATCTTAATTACAGTGATGGAGCAAACTTTGCCACTGATGTAGAGAGCCATTAAGAGTCCAGGGAGGGCAAGGAAGGTGGTCGGAAAATAAATGACTGAGACTGTTTCTTTGAAAGTGGTGGAGTTGAATGGACCTGCCACCACTGGGAGGTTCAGAAAAGCTTCTTTTCATAATGATAGTTTCCAGTTTAACTCTATGACCTTTTGTTAGGGTCCCTGGTTTAACATCCTGTCACTGACTCTGCTGATGCTGCTGAAAGTAAATGCATCCAAGAGGGATAAAGCTACGCACCTTGGGAGGCTTCCTAGAAGAAACCACATCTTTGTGCCACAAGTAGCAATGTGGAAAAACTTAATGATCACCTTTGCATTGTTTCACTGCTGAGAGCAAGGATGGAGACTTGAGCCACAGGAATCCTGCCTTTGGCAGGGCTGACAGTTGGCTGTCACTGGCTAAGTCAAGCCAACCAGGGGTCTCTGCTATAAAAAGGATACAGTGACACTCAAGTCCCTCCAACAGATGAAGTCAGAATTCCTGAGACTTGAAAAAATAAAAAAGCCTTTTGCAGATTTCGAGCCCAGTTCCCTGTTTGTGGAAGGCACTGTCTACACGTGTGTTGATCCGATATTGAGCTTGACACAAGGGGCTTTAGAATGCAAAAGGAGTCGGGTTTACTTACCATAAACCGGTTTCATTCTGAAATTCTCAGATGTTTCCTGTTCCTGGTTTTTAACTTTTACTTGTAGTTGTTAACTGCTGATGTTCAGTAGGTAAGAAATCTCTCAGTCTCTCTTTCTCTCCTTCTGTTTCTGACTCTGCCTCTCCTAAGTGGAAAAAAAAAGCTATAATGATATATAGTATTTTCACAAGTTCTTTTTCAGCTGCAGTAAATTCTCTTTAATCAGTAGCTGGGGAATGACATTCTGGTTGATTTAATATTCTGGTCAGTAATGAATGCACATGCCATCTGTGAATGGCCCATTTGAGAGAATTTAAATTAATAAAACATATCTGGTCCCAAGTCTGGACTGAGCACAAATTAACCTTTGATGATTCCAAAGGTTTACCAGGATCTCTGAGTGGTATGCAATAAGAGCATCTTTCACCTTCACACATTAAATGTTTCAGGACATTTATCTCATTGAATTGTAATAGGAACCCATAAAGAAAGGGTTCAAGAAGGACTTCCCCAAGGTTTCACAGTAGCAAGAGGATTAAAGTCAGATAGCATGATGCCAAGACCTGCTCAGAAATCACTCACACACCTTGTTGCACTCCTGAGGGGATAGTTTTGATTATTAACAGGAATGCAGAGCTGGGGTGAAGGCACTTTTGCCTTGCCCCCACTGCCCTGGCACGGATGCAGGAGGAAGATGACCCTCCTTCTGCTTTTTCAGCAGGTGAAGATGCCCGTCACATCCTCCTCGCATCTCTTCTACCTGGCCCTGTGCTTGCTCGCCTTCACCAGCTCTGCCACGGCGGGACCCGAGACCCTCTGCGGGGCTGAGTTGGTGGACGCTCTCCAGTTCGTGTGCGGAGACAGGGGCTTTTATTTCAGTAAGTAGCCTCCCCCTCGCTGCTCTGTGGGTTTACAACCGTGGGGAGTGTGCAAAGAACTGAATGACTGCCTGTGGCTGGCAGCCGTCCTTGGCCTCCAAGATTCCTCACCTTAATGCGAGCCTAGTGTTTCGGCGGGGCCGTGGCACATTCTGCAGAGTTTGGATGGAATTTTCCTCCGTAGCTGTTTGTCTTTTAACTACTTCCCGCTAGGCTTTCCCGCAACTATTCTGCTCTGCCCTCACTATTCCATTCTTTCCAGGGAAAAGACAGGACAAAATGGCCCTGGGGGACTGAAGTTTTGGTTTTCCAGATCTGTGGGTGCACGTAATGACATATGTGAACATGTAGGGATGTTTTAAGTGCTAGGTCACTTGGAGGAAACTAGGAAGGTGGACTTGGCAAAGAGGCACATCCCAGATGTCCCCATGTGATATAAAATCACCCCGAACAAGCAGAAGGTGAACATCGCCGAAAGGCACATTTGCAAAGACACAGGCTCTCGCTCAATGCAAACTGAAACGCTGAGTTCATTTGCCCTCGGGTCACACTGACCTTGAGTCTTCGCTGTTGCCTTCTTTGATGTCACCCTTCTCTGGGGCTCTCCAGTGATGCCTCCATCTGGAAAAGGGTTTCTGACAAGTGTAAGGTCACTTATTCCAGAAGTAGGTCTCAGGTGATTAAAAAGTCAACAGTCAATAAAAAGTAGACAGCCAAGTCCATGCTTGCAGATAAATAATAAACACAAACGGGAGTCCCTGCTGCCTTGAGGGAATGGATCACTTAGAGAACACACCTCAGAAGCATCTGGCTCGTCTGTGTTACAGGACACTGAGTGATGGAAAGCCATATGCTCGTTCTGTTTAATTCTTTGCAAATTTAGAGAGTTTCAGGAAACTGACACGCAGGTCTTCAGGACCGTGAATCATTCTTAGAGGTTCATGTGGCTTAAGTGTAGACAGCTTACCTCAGTTACCCACTAGGCTTTGAATAGCTCCTGTGATGACTCACACACTTCCAGTCTCTCCTCTTCCCAGGAAGGTGTGTGTGAGAGAGAGAGAGAGAGACTGGAAGGAGTGGCCTGTGAGCGTAGCAGTCTGGGATGGGTAGGGAGAATGGGAAGGAAGAGGCTGATAGGCATGTTGATGGTCTGTACTCATTGTAGATTTGGTGACAAATAGCTTTTCAACAACTAGTGACAGAGAGTGAGAAGTGCTTTCTACTCTTTGAATGGGCAAATTCCCACCCTCTGTTTCCAGCCAATGCTTTGAGTGAGTTCATTTATTTTTCTGGCAATAGAGCAATTCTGTCCCATTCTCTGTTTCTGTGCAGACGAATGAGTTCATTTGGTGAGTGCTTTTCGAATAGCAGACCTGTTTTACCTTCAGAGTATCTGGCAGAAGGCAAATGTGTCACATTGACATCACCCGGCGATGGCTTGTCACTACTCTTTACTTTGCTACTACTGAGCCACATTGTAAAAAATGGATAAGTGGGTCTCAGCTATTATGCCCAAGAGGATTTTTTTTTTTGCTTTGGTAATCCATTTGTGCCATTTCTTTTTATCCAGTTCACTAGGTGATGGCCGAGTCCCCAAGTGTCTTGGGTTATGTGCCAGGTTGAATTGCCACGTTTGATGTGACATGCTCCAGGATTTCCATGCACAGTGCATGAAAACTGGATCTTTCTATGACTGTGATGCTTACAATTAAATGACAAAAAATGAGAAAGAAAAAAAATAATTTGATCCCAAGTTACCCTTTGATACTTATATATGTTCACACAAAGAATTAAGGGTATTGGACAACTATGATGGAAACTGATTACAACTCACTGGAAGGCATTCTATTATTCAAATGATCAAATTTTACAAATGTGTTTTAATTCTCTCTTAATTTGAAAGGGGAAGGTTCTACATGGCAACTCTTAATGTATAGAATATAACTTTGGATAGAAAGTGGTTTTATAAATTGTGTTTTATTATTAAGAGTCTAGGTTTCATAAGTTCTGGTTTATAGAACTCTATGGCAATGTAAATTATTTGTCTGACATAAACTTTCATGCACAAAAGTATTCTTGTTAATTTTCTAGTCAACTGGACTAGGCTTTTTGCCCAAGAGAAGTTAACCCCTTTAAGTTGTTTAATTCAGAACATTGATGGAACCTCTGCTATGTGTAAGAAACTATACAAGGCATTAGTGAGATACCTGGAAATGAATGAGAGATTAACTTTGCTTTCAAGGAACTCACAGTCTAGTTAGGTGGTTAAAAAAATAAAAAAAGTATTATCAAGTATCATAGAGGAAAATAATCATGGAGGAAAAATGCAATCCTTTATGCTTTTCCTAAATACTTTTCCCATTTTTAAAATCAGCTGACCAAGATCTACCCTCTCAGTGGGCTCCTTGATACCAAAGACCAGATTGTTTACCACTGAACCCCAGTATCTAGCTCAATGCCTGGCTGATATAGCTGTGGCTCAAGTTTGATTGTTGAACTGGCAGGACTGAATTGATTGAATCCCATTGAATGTAATGGCATGACTTGCTTGAGATCTTAGTCTTTAGAATCATCAAGAATTAGGTTTGTCAGGTACTTTGGACAATTCTTTTTGCCTCATATTTACCCAGCTATTTGATAAAACTTTATCTTTTTTCAACTGAATACAATGTATACCAACAATGACTTAGAGGCTGCATTTAGATCCTCCCTAAGCTTCACTGATGGTCCGTCTCACATCTGAGCCAATTATTCTTAAAGGCATTAACTGTTGTCAACAAATTTTATTGAGTTTCCTTTTTGTCCTTTGAGATTTACTGTGTGTGAAGAAGTCAGCTCTAAGCATTTACAGCCTTTGAAATACTTTTTAGAGGAAAGTAGTCTTCCCTACCTCTATCCCCTGTCAATTGACTCTTATTATAGTTTTTACCCTTTCCAAAGTTTTATTGTGGCTGCGTTCTTCATTTTAAGCTGCTTCAAATCCATTTTGAATGTATGTATTTTTTTAACTGTGGAAGGGGGCTTCTGATCTTAGTTTGAAATGCAAACATCTAAAAAAATGTTACCTCCATATCTATCTTTTTTACTGGGCCAGAATATTTAACAAGGGGAAATTTTGACCCTATTAAGAGACAAAATTATCCTGAATAACTTTTATTTTTTTGGTAACACTTAATTTTGTATTGACCAACCCAATGTTCTAAACAAGCTCCTATTTCTCTACAAGCCTCAGTTCCACTAGAGCACAGAGCATGCCACCTTCTCGATTATCTGTTTTGTGACCATCTTCCCAGCATAAGTGCAAAAGTTCCTCTATAATTAACACAGCTTCACCAGACATTGCATGCAATGAAAGTTGCAAAGAAGAGCTTAGTACTGATTCTTCCCTATGTATCATAGTAAGAGAGCATGTCAACCAGTCTTGTACTTTCATAGTCTTGGGAGAAAAATGGTGGCCCAGTGGAGTTGGCATATTGGGAAGGAGCTAGCTATTATCTTTCCAGATTGATGGAGGAGCCTCATAGAGAGCAGTTTGTCACAACCTTGCTGTGGCGTGGAACAGAACAAGAGGAAAAGAGCTTCAAGTGAAATAGGAGAAGTTCAGCTTGCCATAGATACTATTTTTGACAGTCATGGTGTTTAACCATTTTAACATGTGCTTTAGAGGCTTGTGGAATTTCTCTCCTTGAAGATACTTTTAAAATTGACAGACAACCAACCACCTTGAATGGTTTCAATTAAGAGCAACCAAAAGAAAGCGAGTTTCTGGGGTCCTTTTTAGTTTTAAGAGTCTATAAACAGTCCCTTAAATAAACTGTATATGCTTTATCTCTGCGGTCTGGGAAAAAGGAGAAGTAAATCAATTAGAAAGGAAAGTTGGATACCCTTTTGGTTAGTCCAGATTTATAGCTTTTATAAAATATACTTCCAATGCATACTTATTAAGAACAGGTCTGAATAAATGAATGGCATTCTTCATGTGTTAAAACATACTGTTTTATAAAGAGTTTAAGTAAAACTTTGCAATGAATTTCATTGTTATTGATTGCAACAACCTTCCTAGATTGAGGTTATTATTATTAACTCAAGCTTCTTTCATTTGAAATATAGTGCTCAGAAAACTGCCCCCAGACCTGTCATTCATTAGCTGTATGACTTTGGCAGGCATTTAAACTTCCTGGGCCAAAATGTCCTTGTCTATAAAACAAGGGGATTTTGTTCAAGTAAATGACCTCTTCTAACTTTTAACAGACTCATAGTCTAGGTTGTAATTAACAAGGATTTGGTACTATTCAAGAAAGGAGAATCTTGGATTTAAATAGTGACCCCAAAATGTTTTAGACTCCTTTATCTTCTTCACATAGTTTCTGTTCATCCCCAGATAGGGGACCCCACCTACTTAAAGCAAGAGAAGCCAGTGCCTTTGTTTTAGTTTGTTTTAAGCTGAGTTCCAACCCCTCGGGGATGGAATAGAAGCTCAGACATGACCAAATACATGCAAGTTATCTGGCCAAAGGAGCACACACCTCATGGAAACAGATGGTCATTGTTCTTTGCTAGGAAGGGCTCACTGACAGTTCTCATCTTTACGTTTTTCCAGTCTCCTGAAAGTGAGGCCAGTTAAGTAGGTCAGTTTTTAGCTGCTCTTTATAAATTAGAGGGCAGATTGAATCTGTAGTCTCCTAAACCTTGACTAAAAGCCTTTTCCCAGGCTATGGGGACTGCCTATCCAATTAAAGAAGAGAGTACAGCACTGGGGACATCCAAAGACACACTCAGCCACCATGAGCATTGCTTTGAGTGGGGCCGGATTTGAGCTACACCGTTTGCATTCCTTGGCTTGGCAACCCTTAGACCTCCAGCTATGCATTTGTGTGACAGCTGGTCAAAGTTAGAGGTACAGTCACTGGCTGTTACTTTCTCTTTGAAGCTAATTGGAACATGTGGGATTTGACCTTGGCCCTGGCCTCATTAGCACCACTAAGCTAACAGGCCACAGA